CCCCCCCCCCCTTACGCCTCTGTATACAAGTAATCAATCAATGAAGGGAATGTGATGCCACTAGTTTCATGAAATAAAGTTCCCGATAACTGCGCTAAATGAGATTCTTCTAAAAAATATAATATTTTTGGTGCGTAATATTTTCCTTTGTTTTTCTGAAATGATGAACAATATAAAATAATTATTTACTGTCGTTTTTATTTGTTTAATTAACTTTATTTGTTTCGTTAGCAAGGGGAAAGAAAATTTTACCATTACAAGTATTGCGAAAGCAAAAGTAACCATAAATAAAACATGAACTGTCGTTATTCAAAAGGCATAGTAGCTGATTTTATTTTTAAAGAGAGGAACAACTAGCAATGGTAGCAGCAACTGAAGTTTTCTTTCTGAGTCTTCCGCTCCACAGGGGGGTGGGGGTGCTTTCTGCCCCTGTTTAAGAACCAATTCTCTAAGGAGATGTGTCTGGCTCAGTTGCAGTCATTGGATTTCCCTGGCAGGGGCATTTTGTATGGGTTTATAAAGGACAGGAGCGGAGATGTGGATTTTTATATAGTGGGGACGGGGGAGGCAGAGCTTTGTGAGTTTATATTGGGTGGGGGGGGTAGGCAGAGCTTTGAGAGTTTATATTGGATGGGGGTGCTTTCTGCCCCCGTTTAAGAACCAATTTTCTAAGGAAATGTTTCTGACTCAGGTGCAGTCAGGGCTGGCGCCAGAGTATTTGGCACCCTAGGCGAACCTGTCGCACTGCGCCCCCACGCCCACGGCAACTAAATAATTAATTAATAGTGCCGCCCCCAAAAATTTGCCGTCCTAGGCGGCCGCCAAGTTCGCCTAATGGTGAAACTGGGCCTGGGTGCATTCATTGGATATCCCTGGCAGGGGCATTTTGTATGGGTTTATAAAGGACAGGAGCGGAGATGCGGATTTTTATATAGTGGGGACGGGGGAGGCAGAGCTTTGTGAGTTTATATTGGAGGTTGGGGGGGGGGATTAACTGTTTTTTGTGTGGAAAACTTGTGATGGGGGAGGGGCGGTCTCAAATCTAGTAGGAGACGTGTGGATGACCCCTATAGTAGAGACTTGTGGATTACCCCATGGTAGAGACTTGTGGATGACCCATGGTAGAGACTTGTGGATTACCTCATAGTAGAGACTTGTGGATTACCTCATAGCAGAGACTTGTGGATGACCCCATAGTAGAGACTTGTGGATGACCCCATAGTAGAGACTTGAGGATGATCCCATAGAGACTTGTGGATGACCCCATAGTAGAGACTTGTGGATGACCCCCCATAGTAGAGACTTGTGGATGACCCCATAGTAGAGACTCGAGAATGAACCCCATCGTAGAGACTTATGGATGACCCCAAAGTAGAGACGTATGGATGACCCCAAAGTAGATACTTATGGATGACCCCAAAGTAGAGACTTAGGAACTAAGGGACACCTGGGCACGCCTACAATCTCAATGACAGGTACACTTCTGATTGGTCACTTTTACTTCTTCTTCTTCTTCTTCCTCTTGGCCTGTTCAACTCCGCGAAGAGTGTTCACTTTTTCATGGAAATATAAAAAACCAACCGGGTAATGTAAACGTCAGCTTGAGCAACCCGAATAAAGTGAAACTGAAACATTGAAAACGAATTTCGATGGTTCTCTTTCTATTCACTGGTAATACTTTGGTTAGGCCTCATTCCGAATGTTGGCCTAATGTTGTCCTAATGTCCTAATATTGAGCTAATGGTATCCTAAAATTGACATAATTTTGACCTAATGTTGTCCTATGTTGACCTAATGTTGTCCTATGTTGACCTAATGTCCTAATATTGACCTAATGGTATCCTAATATTGACCTAATGCTATCCTAATACTGACCTAATGGTATCCTAATATTGACCTAATGGTTTCCTAATATTGACCTAATGGTATCCTAATATTGACCTAATGGTATCCTAATATTGACCTAATGGTATCCTAATATTGACCTAATGGTATCCTAATATTGACCTAATGGTATCCTAATATTGACCTAATGGTATCCTAAAACTGACCTAATGGTATCCTAATATTGACCCAATGTCCTAATATTGACCTAATGTCCTAATATTGACCTAATGTCCTAATATTGACCTAATGTCCTAATGTCCTAATATTGAGCTAATGGTATCCTAAAATTGACATAATTTTGACCTAATGTTGTCCTATGTTGACCTAATGTTGTCCTATGTTGACCTAATGTCCTAATATTGACCTAATGGTATCCTAATATTGACCTAATGCTATCCTAATACTGACCTAATGGTATCCTAATATTGACCTAATGGTTTCCTAATATTGACCTAATGGTATCCTAATATTGACCTAATGGTATCCTAATATTGACCTAATGGTATCCTAATATTGACCTAATGGTATCCTAATATTGACCTAATGGTATCCTAATATTGACCTAATGGTATCCTAATATTGACCTAATGTTGTCCTCATTTTGACCTAACGTTGACCTAATATTGACCTAATGGTATCCTAATATTAACCTAATCATATCCTAATATTGACCTAATTGTATCCTAATATTGACCTAATGGTATCCTAATATTGACCTAATGTTGTCTTCATTTTGACCTAACGTTGTCCTAATATTGACCTAATGTCCTAATATTGACCTAATGGTATCCTAATATTGACCTAATGGTATCCTAATATTGACCTAACGTTGTCCTCATTTTGACCTAACGTTGACCTAACGTTGTCCTAATATTGACCTAATGGTATCCTAATATTGTCCTAATGGTATCCTAATATTGACCTAATGGTATCCTAATATTGACCTAATGGTATCCTAATATTGACCTAATGGTATCCTAAAACTGACCTAATGGTATCCTAATATTGACCCAATGTCCTAATATTGACCTAATGTCCTAATATTGACCTAATGTCCTAATATTGACCTAATGTCCTAATATTGACCTAATGTCCTCATTTTGCCCTAACGTTGTGCTAACGTTGTCCTAATATCGCACCAATTCATCTGCATATATTTGGTAATCGGCCACTTTCACGATAATCGGTAAATGGATTTTTGTTACCAATCGATCAGCAAGTCGGCATATCAAAATTTGATAACAATTTGATAACAAATTTTGATTTAAATTGGAAAAAAAAATGTAATAACATTTATGATTTTATGGAATTTTATCAAATGCATGTAGGCTATGTTCAAAATTATGAATGTATAATTATAGGACATATACACGTATACGTGGAATGACAACATTATAACAATATGTTAATAATTAGTAAGAAATCGGTAATCAGGAAATGATCCATACAAACCTACACTTGCGGTAATTGTCGTGAAACGGCAGTTCGTTCAGCGTTAACTGGTTAGTAAACAAACGAATGTTGTAGTTGAGAAGCAAAATGTGAAGGTCTCCACTTCTTCCAGTCAAGGTCATTCAGGTGTTCAGAGAATATCTCTGTCTTGTTTCATTATCCAGTCAGTGGCGAGGATGAATAGGAAGGGGGACAAGTGACATTCTTGCCCTACCCCTGATTCCATCATATGGTATGCTATGTA